CATATGAGTGGACTCACAGTGCACCAGATGTTATGTCCATTGACACAGAAGTCGGGTAGGTTGGCAAATTCGTTATCATATGACTTCCAGATCATCTGAAATTGGAATAAAAAAATCGTGTAATTAATTATAAATCAATATATATTTTTACATTATAACATTTAAAAAACGTACCGAACCTGGTGGCAAGAGGTCCAACATGTATCTGTACTGGATCAACACATGTGTAGATACTTCTGTAACACAAAATTGATCTCTCCATCTACAATAATATTATAGGTTAGTACAACAATTGAATGCGTAAAAAAATTTTAAGAGAAAAATAGGACAATATTTATATCGATGTACCGGGCAGCTAATGGTCGACCCACGAGATCGTGATCTGAGATGTGACGACGTTGTGGAGCCATCGTGGGGAATCGATCCCAAGCCCATACTTGTAGAAGTATAATTGGACCAGCAATGTCACGAGAGTCAGAGCGACACACTTTGCACAGATTTCGATACAACCACGTCAAACATGCTCCACCCCAACTGAAACGTCCAGCTACCTCGAAATCGGCTAATAGCGGGAGAAACATTAAATGCACCAAGTTGTTATACTTATCGGCGAATAGACTACCACCGATAAGCTGCATAATATAGGCACGAGCGTATCTGGCAATGGTTTCCTCATCAGCATCGTCGGCTAGATTACAAAATTGAGAAGCTAGCCAAGGTAGACTCAGCTTAGAGCCTCTGATGTGCGCAGCACCTGGAGTCACCCCAAGTAATGCTTGACAGGTGCCTCTCCAATCATAATCAACGCGACCTGTAACAGGCTCGCCGTCTACTGGTAACCCAAGCTGCACCGCTACATCTTTTAGAGTGATAGTACACTCTCCATCAGGCATGTGGAATGTATGAGTCTCTGGCCTCCACCGTTCCACAAGCGCAGTAATGAAATGCCAATCTAATTGGATGAATCCCAATCTGGCGAATCCGTAAAATCCAGAAGCGCGTAATGCAGGTTCAATTAAAGGATGCAATGGGATGGTACGATCAAATACCGCCTCTCTACGTCGGCAGTGCAACTCCTCGTTACACTGACCTTGCCAAACTAACTCTGATCAATGTCGAGTTTGGTCATACAATACAGATCGATCGATAGGACCTGAGTTTAATTCCATAATCTAATACAATAGATAATCATTAGTTGGAAAATTAAATATAAATTTTAAAACAATAGTCACAACACAGAGTGTCAATTAAACTATAGGTACAATCACATAGAGTTTTCAATTACATTGACAATTAAACTAACACAGAGTACAATCACATCGACAATTAAACTATCATAAATGATTCAGACTAAAGTTTTCAATTACATCAACATCTAAAAAGGTGCTTCCCCGTCGTCTCGAGGGACAACTTCTTCGATTGTGACCAAGTTGATTACAAAGCCCGCATCTCTGTTGAACACTTGGTTCTCTCCAATCCATCTCGTTATGAATACGCGAGCTCCTTGGTCGTCCAGGCAATCTCAATAATGTTGGATCAGGGTGCAATATAGGTAAGTTTGGGTGAGCGATCCAGTAATCTTCATGCGGGATTGGCTGAAATTGAGGAGCGTAAGACTCAGCATACCTCGAAAGCTTGTAAGGCTCCTCAATGTAGTCCTCGTAGTTAAAGTTTAAGTGTGAACAAACTGCCATTACATGAGAACATGGCATGCCATACGTTTGCCACTTGTTGCATGTACATGAACGTTCTTCGGCAATAATTCTCACTATTTGTGTGTTCCCTCCTTTCGAATTGTAATAATGAAGCCCTGTTTTCACATGAAACACACCTACGACT